CCTAAAAAACACTCTTTGGTAGTCAAGCGAACGTGGGGGCATTCCCTGGGGTGTAAGGGGAGGTGTTCGGCTACTGCACGATAGTGTTTGGCTCACGAGGTCCAGGAGTTTTGAGAAATCTATATCTACTTTGACGACATCTGATGCTACCCTTGCTTCACTTACTGACACAGAACTCAAGAACTGGTCCCTATTCTCCAATAATGTAGTATATTAAGATTACGACTGTAGTTTTAAAATGAGTTGCTACAAGCATGGTGTCTAAGTTCTTATTTATCACCGTGCACTGCAAGAACCTGAATATGTGCATCATCTACCATCCTACATTCGCAACATGTACGAGGTCATCAAGAGGTTGTCTTACTTTACTTTTTACTTTCATCCTCTTCGCTTCTGATAGGCTCGTTAGCCGCTTAGGCGGTTGGTCACGTCTCCGATATGCGCTGTTGGCAGATACTGGGCATGCACTGTCTCCTGAATATATCGGAACCTGCTTCAGCGTTGGTCAAGTCTGGCCTTGAATGAGCTCACACTCGGTGCCATCACAACAATCTCCGGCAGATTGTTCCAAGAGTTCACAACTCTCACTTGTGCATTAAGTAACTCATTATTTAAATTGTTGTAGAACTCGTCAACCTCAGATCTCGTGATCAGGTCATCTTCAACCGTCATATATTGTGTGGATATCGTCGTCAGGTCTCCAGGTAAAGTGAGGTCACCTCACGCTGCCTTTTCAACCCATCAAAGTTTGCCCTTCTGAAATCTGGGACTTTAGTGGAATTTTCCTTGCGACTGCCATTAAATCTTAATTGAAATCTTATTTCTTTGTGATCGCTGTTGGCAAGTTCGTTCCCTACCTCAACATTACTAATGAGGTTGTAGTGGAATATCACGAAACCCTACAAGGTTTTCTGTTTGACAACTAAATCGAGTATATTATTACCCCGGGTGGGTTCGGTTATATGTTGACTTGGGAAACAATCCTGAACTGTTTCAAGAAAATCATCTGATTCTGAGTCACCTGTAAGGTCAATCCAATCTATTTGGCTAAAGTTAAAGTCGCCAACTATACAGACATTGCTATGTATGGAAGCCCTGCACATTTCATCCCAAATAAGTTGCTCATTAACTCTATCAAGATTAGGAGGTCTATATATTACTCATGTGATTAATTTTTCCCTACCATCGATTAATTGTCCAAATTATTTCTGTATTCAGTTCAGTTTTTATTTAATTATTTATTTCACAGTTCAGATTATCCCTGGCATATACAGGGTAATGCCACTCCGCCTCCTTTCCTAATCTGCCTATCGGCATGGAATAATTTGTAACCTGCAATTTGGTATTCGGCAGGTAACTCTCGTGAGTCTAAGTTTATCCATGTTTCGGTGAATGCTATTATATCGATTTTTTTTCTCGGTACATACCAACGCCCTAATTTCATCCATTTTGTTTCTCATAATCCTACTGTTTGCGTAGTAGATATTTAAGTTAGTCATGTTCCGAGTCCTCTCTTTGGCGCGTTTAGTTTTTAACTCACTTCTTAGTTTAATTTTGTCCTCATCCCTAGCACTGTTTCCCTGTAACCTTTCACTTTGTTTACCCGCTCCTACTGCAGTCTCCTCCACTTCCGTGTCCATATGTTCCCCTAGCAGTTTAAAAACTTCGACATCTTTTGAACTGCCCTCTCGAGAGAGCCAGCCAGGGATGACACCCCATCCCTAGCATAAAGGTCCCTTCTGCCGTAGAAGTTGTCCCAGTTGTCAATGAATGGGACTGATATCGACTTGCAATATCTGCCAAGACAGCCGTTGACACCAACTGCCCTTAACAACCATTCATTGCCAACTCTCCTTCTAGGCAGGACACCACATATGATAGGGATCCCTCCCTTCAACCTAATACGTTCAATAGCTGTCTTAAACTTATCAAGGAGCTCCTCACTCCTACACCGGCCAATATCATTGCCTCCTGCACTGAGGCAGATAATGGGTTTGTTTCCATTACCAGACAAGATATTGTCCATCCTGTCAACTATATCCCCCACCCCAGTTTCTGGTAAACACACCCTCATCCAATTTTTATTTTTACCACAAAAAGCTCTATCGAGGTACCGTACCTGGGAATCGCCAACAATTAAGGTATTCGTACCTTCCTTGTCAGCCCTGTCCCTGACTATGGTAACGTCCAATTCGTCTATCAAAGGACTAAAAGAGTTATTACACTTAGCTGTTGTCGTTTTTCTTGGCGTCTTTTCTCACTACCACTTTGGACGTTCCTCTCCTCACAACCTTCCATTTGCCCGAGTTTTCGTCAGACATGGGCTTGTAGTGGATTCCTCCCCTACAAGCACCGAACCTTCTCGAATTCCCCAGCCTACGCCTCCAGCGACGCCCACGGAGCGGGGGTCAACTATCTACCCACGCCTACCCCCGCCTTATAAGGCCTGACACCGCTGTGACCAGCCTCTTTCTACACAGTGCCACCAGCAAGCAACACCTCCGCGCCGCTCCCGCCAGCGACCTTGGCGTCCCTCAAGCCGCGTGCCTTCACTTTGGGCACCCTCACCACCCAGCTCTCTCTACTCAACGCTTATTACCATGCTACCTACCCAGTAACAAGCTGCATTGCACATCCAATATAATATGTGTACAGTGAGCACATTGTGAATTTCCTTTCTCCATCCCATCCTGAGTGTGAACCAATATCACCATAACCCTACAGGCTTTCCTTGTATCGTGTCTTCTTCCTTCATCCTCGCTCTCACTTCCTTTAATTTCAAGTTTTCTTCTTTGACCTTCACTAACTCGGCCAGTAGCTCAGCCCTCAGAAGGGCACAACCCCACAAGTAGCACTAGCCATTACCGACAATTTATCCCCGGGAGCTAAGTCTGCCGTGACCTTTCTCCTAGCGAGGTCAGAACACAATTGACAATCACTAGCATACCTTCTCCAAGCATCAGGGCATCTAACTTCTGAAGTCTAGCTTTGGTAGCAAAGAAATGCCGTAGCGGTTCTGCTCTACCCGGTAATCATTTTGAGCTCATACATTAAATCATTAACACATTTAAAAATAATGTGTTCTAATATTTTCAGCTATTTATATATTGTATATGACAATATAAAATTAACATACTTAATTTTAATAAATTAATATACGATTCATTATAATAAGATTTTTATCTGTAAAAATAAACTTTTAGTCCCCCCAAAACGTTTTCTAATTTAAATAAGAAAATGGTTAAACAGGAGGAACATTTGGAACACTAATCACAAGTCAAGGAGGAAGGGGGGCAGCACTAGACCACCTCTGTGGACACAGGACCCCATCCTCATCAAAGAAGGAGAGAAGGTAGAAAACCTTGGCAAAATTTATAAGCAAAATAAAACTAGTGATAACCTCCTGGCATTCCTCAAAGCTAACAGAGCATTTCGTGAACTCAAAGGTCAGATGAGAAACACCTAATGGGAACAATTCTTACAGGGGATTAATAGAACAATCACTCAAGCAGAAGTGTGGAACAAAATTAGAGCCATTAACAAGTCATCCACCCCAGTCCAACTTCACGAGAGCCTTGCAGAATATGCTGACATGCTATTAGACCAATTGTCTAGTGTGTCACTTTTTACTTTTATCCTCTTCACCACTGATCGGCTCATTAGCCGCTTGGGCGATCGGTCACGTCTCTGTCACGCACTGTTGGCAAGTACTAGTCATGTACTGGCTCTCTGTTACGTACTGTTGGCAGGTACTGGGCATGCACCGGCTCCTGAATGTACCTGAACCTGCTCCAGTGTGGTCAAATCTGGTCTTGAAAGAGCTCACACTCGGTGCCGTCACAACACATTCTGGCAGATTGTTCCAAGAGTTCACAACCCTCACTCCGAAAAAGTTTGCCCTCACATTTTTCTGGACTTGTCGGCTTCTTCAATCTTGGGCTGTGACCCCTTGTGGGGCGAGCGTCCGCCAGCTTCAAGTAAGGACACTCGACTAAGTAGTGCCCCTTGAGATGCTTATACACCTAATTTAGGTCGCCCCTTGCCCGTCTGTAGTATCAGTAATGCAAGTTCAGGTGCTCCAATCTCTCAGGGTAGTTGAGGTGCCGAAGTGCAGGCACCAGTCTGGTGGCTCTCCTTTGAACATTTTCAACCAACTGACAGTCCCTAGCATATCTCGGGGACCAGACGGGGTGACAGTACTCCAGATGGGGAAGCACTTCACTCTTGAAGATCGTTACGAGGGACGGACCGTCTAGATATCTGAACGACCTTCTTATAAGACCCAATAATTTATTTGCCTGATTTACCTTCTTCTCTCAATGGCCCGAGAACTTCAGCTCATTGTCAACATACACACCTAGGTCCTTCTCACACTTAGTCTCAAATAGTGCAGTTTCTTCACCCCATTGGGACATATGCTACGCTTCCTTACCGTTGGTACGCCCCAGGTGCATCCTCTTACACTTCGTGACATTGAATCTCAGCAGCCACTTCTTTAACCATTCTTGGGAACTCACAGAGATCCTTCTGCAGCTCTTCACAAATCACTTCCCTGCTTCCTAACATACAGCAATATCTTAAAACCACACACATTAATAGGGGTTTCCATATTGAAATAGCCTGTTCCTCACCAGACTAAAAAAGATTACCGTTACATTTCATATTAAATGATCGTAAAATTAATATTTATTAGTAATAGTGGAGGAGACGGGTAACACCAGAAGCAGTTGTTCGATTTCGTTCTTTTTCCACAAATGTTGTTTGGATGATAAGTAAATAAAAACGAGCTCATTCAAAACAAGACTTGGTCAATACTGGCACAGGTAAAGACACATTCTGGAGCCAGTACATGTTCGGTACTTGCCAACAGTGTGTAACAGAGACGTGACCGACCATCCAAGCAGCTAACGAGCCGATCAGTAGCGAAGAGGATAAAAGTAAAAGACAAGGGATAGTGGGCATGTTGTCCTAAGGCTAACGTCGCGGCGTCTCTGTTTACACTACAACACTTGACAGACGGCGGCAGAGGTTGACAAGTGTGTGGTGATTAAAATAACATTATCTCTTGATTTAACTTTTCATAGAAACTCAGTGATATTCTCGAGTAAATTAGTGTCGCGTTACTTAAATATGTGCTTGTGTTATTTGATAAATAACTTTTTTTGAGGTAAAACTCGGTTGTCAAGTATGATTGGGACGTGTTTAAATGTCCATCATATAGTTTTGTGATACAAACGCCTACGTGTGTGTGTGTTATTCTGGTTGAATTTTAAAAACGTTTTATTAAAAAAAGTTTATATGGGAATAGCAACTTTCCTATTTTTACCTTCCTCTAGTGTTTGTTAAAAGTGGTAATTATATAGGACTAACCAATGAGCGAAATTGATCGAAAAAAATTATGAAAACACCGGATTTTCACTGTTCTATTATTGTGGAGACTGTTGTAGTTTGTGGAAATATGTTAAAAATAAACATTACTTAACATTTGTGGGTATGAAAAACAGACCTAACCAACCTAACCAAACAAACCTACCCAACCTTACCTGGGGGCAGAGCCCCACGGACCCCCCGGTATATTAAACAGAAACAACTTGCTATGATATGGTGAAATTTGAGGCACTTTCTGGATGTGAGATGATCCGGGCGCATCAGCTCTAAGGAGCCTGGGCGACGGAGTGAACTACTATGTTGGAGGGTTCCACAATAAATGATTATCAAATTAGAACTCTGATGAAAATACAGTAATGTAAGAAAATAAATGAACAGTCTCTATGTAAAGGAACAATGCCGCGATCTTTAAACAATTGAATGGTTCCAACTCACAGAAGAGTACATTCAAAGTATAAACAAAATGCAGTACAGTACAATTACTTTGAGGTGTGTATGTAGAATGTTGGACCCATGCTTGATGCAGTAATTTCACCAATAAAATTTTAAGTTCAGTAGCTGTAATTAAAGATTATTTTATTTAAATCAACACTGCACTGCGCTATATATTATCAATACAGTATGTTAACTAAATTTCAGAATGACCAATAATTTTAATGTAAAAACATAAAAATACTCTGTATTCAAGAGACCAACAAACATGATGTTTCCTCCACTGTAAACCAAGTTAAACAGAGATGCTTTGGCGGGTGAGTTAAACGGCTAATGGGTGCACAAAAAACTAGTTCCCTGTACTGCATATAATATCAATATAAGTAAATTTTAAAATGACTTATAATTTCAATATAAAAATGCAAAAATATTAAAGAGCACAACCTTCTTGATATTTACCCCACTGGAAACGGGTGTAAACATAGAACCGATTACTGTATTGGCGGACTAGCCAATCAGCTGATGCGCACAACAAAACGTGTTTGTCGTAAAGATTTCGTTAATCGAAGTTTTGTTCGTTAATTGAACTGAAAATCCTTATGGGAGCTAATTCGTTAACCAAAATTTCGTTAACCGAACCGTCCGTTAACTGAAGGACCACTGAACT